ACTTCAGTGTATAGCCGTTTTCTGAATCCTATCCCTCATCTACATAGTCCATTCAATTATTTGTGTAACTCCTGATCGAATCTTCATGCACAAAGCATCCTGATAATGTTTCCTGTGAGTGCTATTCTGAATGCTTTTTGTCGAGAAGCTAGAGAGCGCGGCTTTTTCTGACAACCTACTGGCTATAGATGTGATTTTTATTAATTGTTCCTTTTAATTCGTTCATAATTATCTTTACTCCAGACTGTTGACTCGATTGTCATTTTGTCGAGAGTCCTGCCGATTCTGGAGCCAATCACCGAGCACTCCTTAAGTCTGCAAGAAGCAGTTGCTAGAGTACGTATTTCTGCTTTGTATTTGTTTTGAGTGGTACGAAGTGAGAGTAGAAACGCAGACTTCTAGTGTATGCTCTAGTTGCTTCAAAATAATTCAAGAAATAGGCTAAGCACATTTTGAGCTAATGTTTCATCCAAATACGTCATAAGGCGCAGAGTTGAGGGTGGCTATTGCCTGCTTCTTTAAAATTTTATTTTAAAGATCGTTAGTTATTGGCAGAGATAGTAGTGGTGATTTGGAATGTCTACAACATTTAGTGACGCGAGGTGACGCCAGTTAATGCTGGAAACCGATCATTTGTCTACAGTTTGCTGTAGCGCTTGCAGTTCAGTGCTGTATGTGTCTATGCCTACACGCAGTTAGTTTCTCCAACCACTAAAATGTGGAAAACTGGGTCACGAAAAATAATGGAATAATCTGAAGGCTAAATATTCCAAGCACATTCTTTGACTTTTCAGCAGTAGGATTAAGTCTCCTTTTTGTTCGTGTTCCCAAATGTAGCAACTTAGGGCCGATGAAATCTAAAACATACATATTCCTCTTCATCGACTCAATGCGGTGTTCGGTCAGATGTTCAAGTAAAACGTTATTTAGATGCACGGATACGTTGGCATTTTCCTTCAAGTTGTCAAGCAGTGCATGTTAGATGACACCACTAGTGACAGCAGCTCTACAGAGCAATCAAAAAGCAAAGATGACACCTTAAATGAAGAGCGGTACAGTCTTAAACGCAAAGTTCCCATTCCTCAAAAGAATTGAGCTGTTTTCCTCGTTATCCAGGCGCATTTATGGTGTACGTCGTCGTGTTGGTGTATACAATATGCGCAATGAAGGGCCTCTATTTGCGAGAATGGAAGCAATTGCTCACATTGCTTCTGTGGCGCAAAGCGCAGTTGGAACAGAGAAACTAGAGTGAGTATTGTAAGTTACTCTCACACGGTAGAGCGGATATTAATTCAATCGTTATCAGTGACGAGACGAAGGAAGCCCTTTACGTGGAACAGGCAGCAAGGTGGAATGATCTGTTCAACTTCCTTTCGCTGTCAAATCAAGATCTATTGGAATTCCAAGCTCACGTTTATGCTGCATCGTTACGTAAGTTATCAAATTATGCCCCCTCCATATAACAGTGGTAGCTCACAAATCCCTCGTGTTCTTATATTTGGCTTTTCATAAATCTTCTCGATGGAACCTCTCACGCTTGACATTTTGTTGTAGATGACCGCTCAAAGGTCGTTTGCTAACTCTCATGGGCTTGACTAGTGATAAACTATACTGTCTATGCAATCACACTGTCAGTAACTGATGTATGATACTCGACTATAAAAGCCTCATTCTACGGTGTGCATATTAATTGTCGTCTAGTGCTCAATAAGGCACTTCGTCTCCGGAGCTGTAACACATTTTGTTTGACTATCCTATTTAATATTTTCACCCAACTTTTAGTCCTTGAGCAAAACTTGAATCTCGGTAGTTTCTGCTTCCCCTGACCTTCTTTTATTAAATCCATCGCCAAATTCCTAAAAAGGAAAAAAGTGACGGGTATTTATTCTTCGGGTACGAAATTAGGAAGATAGCTAGATGATGAGGACGGCGCAAGGTAGCATACTACATACTTTTTTTAGACAAAATCTTCTTTGAAAAGCGATTACAATTCGATTTTTGTAATTCCGAGCATTTAAGCTTGGTGGAAAGACCACCAAACAGGAACCGATGTCGGGCTACGAGTTTGCGTTCGCAATATCTGCCTTCGAGCCCTACAGGCACATCCATGCGACCTATGGACACCATGCACTCTCCTGTCCTCTTTACCACCATCCACGATTGAACAAGTCAGTACTCAATCGTCATTCAAATGTTTTGACTTGGAATTGAAATTTCAGGTGATTCTGGAGCTAAGAAACACGGTATCAAATAGAAAATCGCCTCAAACTATGATCAATTTCCTGCGTTTAGTACAGTTTGCTACGATTTTGACAGAAGATGCTACTCATGCTAAGATGTTGACGGTAAGTTCAAAGCTTTGTGATTTACTCGTTTTCATATCTTTTTCATCAGCTGTTTGCTTGTGGATATGATCTACTAAGCTGCACTGCCGGCTGGTGAATTGTAACTCGTTGTTTCTTCGGAGCCATTTCAGTACATCTCTACCTGAAAGTTCGCTTTTACATACTTTCAGATGTTCTTCAATTCTTAGCCCAACCGTTTCATTTCGCATAGAAAGGTTTTCATCTATTTTTTTTTTTCCAAAGGGGAAGAAAATTTTACTGTGTGATAGCTTAAAGCTCTTCCTTACTACACAAATAGAAGAGTCTGGTCATGCTCATGAAATGGACTGAAATTGGGATGCAAAAGGAATTTCGTCACTTATTCTCATTTCTTGTTCGCACAGTAGAAATAGGGTGCCCATCCCCTGATTCCATTCACATTTCTGCGCTCGATGACCTTTGGTCCGCAATTTACTCCCCGTTGGTCGATTGGTCAGTTTATCTGCCACCAACCGGCTAGAGACCTTTGACTCAACACACTAGAATGAGGGATAAACGGTGAAGGAGAAGCCTCGGGAAAGTGGAATCGTGGGTGCATTATTACATGTAGTTAATTCGGGCGTTTTTTTATCTTTTAAGTTTTCTTGCTGCATTGACGTTGCATAAAAATATTCTCTTCCTTATCGAAGATTGCTGTTGTTTGGTAATCATATTCTCATATGTCATATCATGCCCAACGAAAGAGGGTTTACGACAGCACAGTTATTCCGCGTTATCAGTGACTTGCTCAAGGATGAAATAAACAGTTAAGGACGATGTAAGAAAGGAATGGATTGCACGCTTTAAATCAGATAAAATCCACCCTGATGACACCACGGAAAGTCGCCCTTGAAACTTTGTCCATCTGTGACTTGCGGAAGATGTGGAAGAGAAC